GTGGGGACAGTGACAGGGGCGCCAATGCTCTGCCGCAGTTCCGACGGAGCTCGGAGCTCTCCCACGACAGCGTTGGGGTCTTCCCAGGGGAACGCCAGCGGTGGGGCAGGCGCTGTCCCCCACCTCCATGTACCCCACACCGACACCCGGCTCCGACTTTGCAAGCAGCTCCGAGCTCCTCCCAAAAGCAGAGGGGCAAAGTCCAGCCCAGGGAGACGGCGGGCTGGAAACGGGCTCTGTCAGTGGCACCGCTGACGCCGAGGGGATTTCTTTAGGTACTTTTGGCTTTGCTGGACGGGGCCCAAGCACAGGTATTCAAGTTTCCCTTTTCTCCGGCGCACTCAGCAGAGTTTCTTTTCCTTTTAATCATTTACCATCGCCCTAACTTGCTGCCGCTGGCAGCCTCACCGCGGAAGGAGAAATCGAAGGCGATTTCAAAAGGGGTTCAAGATACTTGCTAGAAATACTGAAAAGGGCCGAGAAAGCCTCCGTTCCCTGTGGATTTGGGCTCAGCAGCTTCCAGCGGATGCAGCCGAGGGGCGCGGGCTGCTCACACCATTCTGTCCCAATGGGAGAACAGCTCAGCCCTCCCCGCCAAGGATCCCGTGCGGGAGGTCCCGTGCTCACCCGCTCCCGCAGCTTCTCCTTCAGCAGCAGGCTGATGATGGAGTAGGGCACGCGGAACCACATGGGCGCTCCCACGATGAAAACCTTCTTGAGCCGAGCCGGGAAGGCACCCTGCGGGCAGGAGGGGCTCAGACCCACGCCGCCGGTGAGGAACCGGCCCCTCTCCGCGCTCTGCCTGGGGCGGGGGGATGCGTCCCAGCAGAAGTGATGACCAGCAGACGGTCCCCGAGGTGGCAACGCCGCATACGAAGCATGCCGAGCCCACGGCTGCACTTATTTTCATGCTCCGATACGGAAATAAATTATTTCCTTGGAATTAGACAGGCAGAGGGTTTGGCTCCGCGGGGGAGAGGTAAAGCCCGGGAGTTGGAATTTGCACGGAGAACACACCCCGGCCAATATTTACTGTCATTTCTTTTTTCCGGAGAAGGGAGGAGGCACAAAATGCCAGCACGATTGAAAAATAATCTGCATCTGTTTTCCCAAAAGCGCTGCCAGCAGCTGCGAGAGGAATCCGGCACCGGGACAGCTGATCATCCCCTCCCACCCGCAGGACACGGCAGCCCCG